TTTACTAGACAGGCGCTTTCACCAACTAAGCCACGGAGCCAGCTACAGCAGACTGTTGGTTCCCTATATTATTTGAAGTTCTCACTTTCCTGGCTCACCAAAGCATTTCTCAAGAACTTGAGATCAACACAACAATCTCAGGACTATTTCCTATTTCTCAAGATTTCTATCAACTCTTCTACCTTCTCTTGTCTGAAACTGCACAGATGTTTACATGCTGAGCCAAGACAAGAAACACCTTCTGAACCTCTGAACCCTCGAAATCAATAGCCAAATTGTTTGACTTTTGCACCTTCCTATGGGAGATACTAATACTCCTCCCTTTCGAATCTGTAAAAGGAAGACGATGGTGCTCATCAGTCTTGAAATGTAACATGAAATGGAGCACTCGAAAGGGCTTCACCACATCTTTTGCTGCGCTCACTGTCGAACAGCAGTATGTTACAAGAGAGGAGCGTGCCTGTTCATATTTATTTTAGAGCAATGTGGACGGTAAAGGCATGCAAAAGGGAAAAGGAAGGTAAGAATTCAGCAAATGTAAACATGCAAGAATGACTGACACAGAAATACAGACAATGAAAACTTTGGTAGACATGTCTGACATTAAAAATGTCATAAAGTTCTTGACTTGTCTGAGTTCCTAAAATAGACACTTAATGCATAAATATCAGAGAACAGTCCTCTCCTCTGAGCATGAGGCAGTATGCAATGATGCTTTAGAGCTCAAACTCTGATGTCAGACTCCATTGATTCTTTGTTCCAAATCTGTCATTATACTTGTGACTTTGAGAAAATGTAAAACCTCTATTTATTATTTTTAGTTACTCAAATTCTGTGAAGAGTGCTGGCAGGTAGTGTAGATGATTTCTAGCCTCCATCCATAAGACTGCTACAAGCGTTCTGTATCTAGGCCGCATAGACACTATTGCTTCCACAGGTGCTAGTGAATAGTGTCAGGAAGCTGCCCGTATCTCTTGCAATGAGAGACTTTTGTGTTTTTTTCCCCAACAACTGTAGCTTCTCGAGTACTTCTGTAAAGGTAGGTCACATTTTCCATTTATTTCTATTTGAAGAACTCCTTCATTGCAATCACATACTGCTGTAGGATTTAAATTTTTCTGTCCAATGTGATTTACCTCTCCTATGGTACTTTATCAAGTATTTCGTGAATTAATGGGAAAACTAAGTTAAGTTAGGAACCACCTGCTGTTAAGCACTTGAGAGCACACAGACAAATAAAAATAAAAAAAAACACACACACAAGAAAACAAACCCACCCAACATTAAAGTAACCTTCGATCTCCGAGTTCGAAAGAGAAGGGGTGAGTAATATAGCCTGGGCAAAGTACGATCTCTGTGAGGACCCCACAAAAGAACAGTGAACTGGTCATTGTTCTGAAAATCTTGGATTCTGTCATGGGAACACAGGGCAAGATGGTCTTGCCCTTTATAATGGGCAAGATGTCACAAAGAGCAGTGGTTAAGATGTTTATTGACACAAATGGAAATATTTTAGGGCCAAGCTGGGGAAGAGAACATTTCAGGTGTTATTTGAAACTTTGTGAGGGAAACTCACCAAACTTCAAGTTCAACATACACCATATAGCTCCATTTCAGATGTCTTTTACAGGCTGAAGACAAATGTCATTGGTCTGATTTGCATTTCAGTGTGGGAATGGGACTCTGGGAGAATAATCTGCAGCATGTACCATCTTGCCCAGATCACCATGTAAATGTCTCTGCATGTCCTTCACCAAAGAAGACATCAATCACATTCCTTCAGCTTTTAAGAACTGCCTGTCATGGACCTAGTGCCCACTGGGCATTTGTCTCAACTCTGATTTAAGTGGTGGGAAACGGACACGTTTCCTATGCGAATTTTGAAACATAAATTTTCACTTTGGAGTATATTTAGAAAAGTTGCAAAAACAATAGAGTTTCTTTATACCCATTTCAGAGTTTCCTTTAATTCGCTTCTCAGGTTACCACAGTACCTTTATTAAAGCCAAGAAACCAACATTGATACTTCAAGAGTAACAACACTCATGTATTTGTGTGTGTCACCTCTGTTCTTACACTGATGTCTTCCCCCGGACCCACGGGATCCCACGTTGCATTCAGCCTCCTCTGGTCTGTGATTGTTTCCTGGTGTGGATGAATTATTTTTATCCGGTGTTTTTATGACTATCTTCCGGTCGAGGTTTGTCTGATAGTTTTCCCGTGAAGGCCTGGGGCTACAGGTTTCTGGATGAGACCACAGGGATGAAGTACTTGTCCCATCACTTCCTATCAGATGTTACTTGATAGGAGGATAGCTTGCCATCAGTGATGCCAACCTTGATCATTTTGAAGGTAGTGTGTGCGTTTTTCTCCCTTGTGAAGTTTCTTCCTATGTTTTCCTACTTCTTCCTGGATATTCAGAAGCTAGTCAGTCAGGATGGCCCATATTCGAGAAGGGAGAGGTTAAAGCTCCATCTCCTGGTGGGTGGGTGGGGAATAGTGTCTTACCTTAGTTGGAATGCACCAGTAAGAAAAATACACCCCTTTTCCTGTATTCATTGAGTTACTTATTTAATCACTAATGTATAACAGTATGGACTCATGAATACATAGTTTATACTTAGTTTGGGTCATTATCTCAAACTATAGTCTTTGTCGTTCAAAGTGTTTCAGGTTTGGCCATTGATGGCTCTTTCCATCTCATAGAGAGACAGCTGACAAAACTGTTTCTTCCCTGCTGTGTTTGTATCAGTAGAGTTTTTTCACGTAGCATTTGAAAAATCTTATTTCATCTGTTGCTGATCCAGTTAAGACCCAAGTGTGGAAATGCAGAAAGTGTAGTGGTTTCATAGTCCATTTTTGGAGGAAAATAATCCAGTAAGGTCGGTTTCTTTGCTGGAATCAGTTACCCCGTGGATCAAAATGTGCCAAAGCGACGCTCTATGTCTTGTGGGTCACCGACTGCTCTCCTTTCGTCCTGCAAGTGCGAGTCAAACATGACGAAAGATGGACGATTCCAGTTGAAAGTTCTCAGCGAGAGTTTTATGAATTGGGAGATAGCGGTGAACCTAAAAGGGATGAACCGGCACGTTCTGTGTGGAAGTGTAGGAAACAATAGCCGCCACAAAAAGTGGCCCGTACGGGGATCGAACCCGCGACCTTGGCGTTATTAGCACCACGCTCTAACCAACTGAGCTAACCGGCCACATACAGCAAAACACACTCGTCTGTATCCTATTAAAAGGAAAGGAATCAATACGGCTTCTCTGGGAGCCGAAAAAGGAACACAATGAACCCAAACGACCACAAATTAATATTCAGAGACAGAAGAAATCGCATTCTTCCTCTCCCCCATCGTGGAATTAGGGGGAAACAAAGAGGAATTCTTAGTATTTGGCGTGAATGAGCTCTATTTCCTGAGGACTGAGGTAATCGATATTCTGGAATACCTACCTGAGAGCTAGGCCTGGGACCACGGCCACACTCATAGGGAGGCTCTGAGAATACTTGAGGAGACGAGGTAGCCCAGGACCAAACCCAAAGCCATTAAATAGTAAGTGGAGAAGTTTGCAAATAAGAGAAGGTGTATCCAGCAAAGTAGGAGGAAAATCAAGAGTAAGTGAAGATTGGAGGGTAGACCTCATTCTTTCATCTCTCGACAGGACTTGAGCACCCATGACTGTCAGACCGTGGTGCACACGTTAAATAATGATGGGAGACACTGAGGCTAGACCTCAACCTGTGTGGCTGTGGTGCAATAGCAGCGTGTGTTACAGGGAAGCACCTGTGATATGGGCTAGGACTGATCTCATGGAAGAGATAACAGTGTTATTTCCCAGGGTTTGGAGTCAAGAGAGGCAGGGGGTTACCCCTCACAGAATGGGCTTTATGCCTCTGTTTCCACACTCCTGCCCATCCCTCCCCTCACCCCACTCGTCTTCACTTTCCCTCCACTTCCCAGCTTCCCAGAGGCACTCTGGCCACTTGACTTGCCAACTCCTGGTCCTGGCAAGGGTTGAACCAAGCGGTAACCATGGTACTGCTGGCAGTGCTAAGGCAGGCTAAGTGGGCCCCCACGAGACTGAGTCCAGTCTCTCAGAACTTGGAGGTGTTGTCAGCAGGAAGGCTTGATCAGAGCCCTTAGTCCCTTGGATTGGAAGCTGGAATCGCCCAAGAGTGACATTTGACTATGGGGAAAGATTGGTGAGTGAAAAAGAGGGAAAACTAAAAGACAGACAGAGGAAGACAAGGATGAGGTGACAAGAAGAGCCGTAAAGACCATGAGGAAGAGCCTAAGAGACAGAAACTGAGACTCTGCGAGAGAGCGAGATTGAGAAGATAGCAAAGGACAGGGAAACTCTGAAGGGAGAGAAATAGAGGCAGAGAGAGAGTGAGAAAGAAAGTGACTAAACGGACGCAGAGACCAAAAATGAGAGACAGAAACAGAGCAATGGAGGTAAGTAAGGACAGAGCAAGCAAGAGGGGAGGAAAGTAGAAAGATACTGAATGAGAGACAAGGGCGGAGACAGAGACGCAGAGAAAGATGGAGAACCAGACTAAGACACAGAGAGAGACAGAAATGAAGATATTAAGAAACAGGAGCAGATTGAGAGACAGTAGAGACAGAGACAGTTTAGGCAGGAGGAGACTGAGGGAGGAGGGTCCAGTGAGAGCAACAGTGAGAAGCAGAGATGGGTCAGGGTCTGAAGTCCAGAGACAGACCTGCAGCAAGGCACCCAGCTCAGCAGTTGAACAAAATTTGAGCCTGAAGCTGATTTGCAGGGGGAGGAGATGAGCACGAAGAGCCATGTTTATATGACATTTGACATTTAAAATAATGATATTCACATTGTGTTGTGGAGAAGGGAACAGCTCCCCACCCCAGTATTTCTGTCTGGAAAATTCCATGGACAGAGGAGCCTGGCATGCCACAGTCCACAGGGCCCCAAAGAGTCGGACACGGCTTTGTGACTGAACAAAAATGACAGAACATTGAGAGTAATCACTGAATTTATATAACTCTTTGTAACAAAGCACTTTGAATCAGGAGTAGGATGTTTGCAGACACGGGATGGTTTTTTGCAGGACAGGTGCTGAGTGTGAATTCCTGGGAATTTCTTCTTTCAGAACAAGCTGCCCTCTCATCCAGGACTGAAGTGGCCCTCCTGGAGTCGGTGAGGGTGTAGGGTTCAGACAGCACCCCTACCCTGGCTCTCCTTTGCCAGCCCAAGCCAGGTCTGCAGCTGCTGGGAGATTTTCTGTAGAGAGGTGGGGAGAATTTGGAAAGTTCAGACTGCAGCACTAGTAGAGAGCAGGAACATGCAAATTAGCATGCAAATGATAATGCAAATCACTCAGAGCTTTTTCTGTCTTACCTGTCGCGCAAGGCGGAGGCTAGGGGAGTCTGATGGTCTCTCAGGTGCCATGTCCAAACAATGTGAGGCACTAGGGATGAGGAGGGCTGGCTCAGAGGGTCCCGAAGGCTGTGTTACACTTAGCACATGCCAGGGGTCTGCATCCCCTGGAAAGAAAGGAGAGGAGGTTGTGTTGAGCCCCAGCCAGATAGACACTAGGGAGTCAAGTTCTGATGGCACACTCACCATTAACAAACAGCACTTGGGTGGCCCCTGGGGCCTGGCCACCATAATAGGCGTTGGTCTGGGCCACAGCCTGGGCTACAGATGAGGTTGAAAGATGAGCTTTTTGTTTCTTACCTGAATTCCCCATCCCTCAATATGTGAAGTGACATTGTTTTCTTTGTTAGGTATCAGGAAAATGCTTGCCTGGTCAAATGTGTTTGGAAGAATTCTCTCTCTCCGACTTTTTGGATGAGTCTGAGAAGGATGGGTCTTAATTCTTCTTTAAATGTTTGGTGGAATTCAAGAGACTTCCCGGGTAGCTCAGGCTGTAAATGTTTGGTGGAATTCACTAGTGGAGCCATCTGGTCCTACACATTTGCTAGTTGAGAGATTTCTGATTACTGATCAATCTCCTTCCTAGTAATAGGACTCTTCAGATTTTCTCTTTCATCAATAGTCAGTCCTGGTAGACTGTATGTTTCTGAGAATCTATTTTCTCTGTTGTCTAATTTGTTGATGTATTATTTAGTTTTAAGCAGGTACAGCAATCTGAATCTTTGTATTACCTTTGTGTGAAAAGGTTTCTTTGCCAGTTGGCTAGTCAGCTTAGTTGATTAGAGCATGGTGGTTATAACACCAAGGATGTGGGTTCAGTCCCCATATGGGCCAGTGCAAGCCTTTTGTTACTTACTCACTGAATAATTTTGTTGCAGTCATCTAAGAAATTGGAGATAACCTCGCAGACATCATATTGGGAATAAATGTTGACTTCATTTTTTCTTCAGCAGTGATACTACCTTCCTTCCCCTCCACCCCTGCCCCCCAGCAAACACAGTCCCAGCAAAAAAGTGAAATTTCAGCATTTCAGATTTGACAGAGGGACATTTTCACCACTCCCTGCTTGAAATCCAAAGCCTATGTTCATTTAAGGAGGGAGCAGTGATGGTAAGGCACCATCCCTTTGAAAGAGCTGGTGGCTGGTATTTTCTGAGAGGGGGCTTAGGGTAGACTTTCAGAGGGTCAGTGGGTTGACATATTCTGTGGAAGCATGGTTCTTCTGGAGAGACTCTTGTTGTTTGGTTGGCACTCAAAGGGGTGTTTACTGAAGTGAGTGCATCCCTGGCTGGCTCATTTCAGAAAGCAGGGTTTGACAGTGATTGGTTGTGCAAATGTTCACAAAACAATAATCATGGATAGATCATTTGTTTTAAATTCAGGTCTGGTGGCTACTTGTTACCACTGCTACAGAACAGTCTTTTCCTAAGTTTGTGATTAGTATATGTTCTCAACATTTTACTTTGGCATAAAGCAAACATTATTTGTTTGTTTAAATATACAAGTAACATATAATAAAAATGTTTGCCAGAGTTAGGAAATAGATGATAGTGAAAGTTGCTCAGTCATGTCTGACTCTTTGTGATTCTATGAAATTATCCAGACCAGAATACTGGAGTGGTTAGCCTTTTCCTTCTCCAGGGGATCTTCCCAACCAGGGATCAAACCCAGGTCTCCCACATTACAGGCAGATTCCTCACCAACTGAGCTATCAGGGAAGCTACAGGTACTAAAGAAATGAAAGGGGTCAAAAGATACACATTTCTAATCATAAAAAAAATAAGTTATAGATCTAAGGTACACTCTGGTAGTATAGTTACTAATAACAATATTGTATTGAATATTTGGAAGTCCTTAAAAGAATAGATCCTAAAAGGTTTCATCACAAGAAAAAAATTTGTAACATATGTGGTGATGGATATTAACTAGACTTACTGTGTTTCATCGGCTTTTTCCAAGAAACATTAAAAGGATTTTTCTTTTTTAAACTTGGTCTCTAATCTCCTGTAGAATTATTGATAGTCTTCCAGGGACAAGCAAGTCTAATTAATTATAAGCCTGTAATATAGAATATGTAGATTTTGAGGCCCACCACCGGGATGGCCGAGTGGTTAAGGCGTTGGACTTAAGATCCAATGGACATGTGTCTGCGTGGGTTCGAACCCCACTCCCGGTAGAACTGCTTTTGTTGCTAAATCATGTCCCACGGCTTTTGCAACCGCATGGACTGTAGCCTGCCAGGCTCCTCTGTCCATTGAACTTTCCCAGGCAAGAATTCTGGAGTGGGTTGCCATTTCCTTTTCCAGGGTATCTTTCTCACCCAGGGATCAAGTTACTTTAGCATGTATCTTACCTGGAAATGACAGTTTTTGTGCAAAACTGGACAATAGTCCAGCATACAGTTGACTCTGAACTCTTTTTATCCAATCTGACGGGCTCGGTCTATAATGGGTGAATTTAGCTAATTTAGATATGATGTAAATGATATACTTGTATTTTAAAAATCCACTATCTTATTAGTTGTTTTCTATGTGTTTTTTCCCCTTTGTTCCTTTCTTTTATCTCTTTCTTCCTGTCTTTGGAATATGTGAGCATTTTACATGATTTGATCATATCTAGAGCATTGCCTTATCATTTGTATGTCTTAACAAATCATTAGTGGTTTCCCTAGGGTTTTCTATATACAGCTACACCTAATCAAAATCTACCTTCAAATTATATTATGCTACTTACTGTACCATGTAAGAAGCTTGCAATAATATACTTCCTCCTATATTGCGTGTCACTGCTGCCACAGATTTTGCTTTCATGTATGCTATAGCTGTACACTATGTCACTACTACTTCTGCTTAATGCAGCCAGTCATTTTTAGAGTGATTAAAATTGGGAAAAATATTCCTTATATGTACCTCTATTGTACCCATTTCTGTGGATATTCATTACTTTGTATTTCCTTTTCCTGAGCCCAGCTTATAACATTTTCTATTTTGCAGGTCTGATAGAAACATACTCCAGTTTTTGTTTGTCAGGAAAGACTTTTATTTCTTATTCAGTTCTGGAAAATGTTTTTTGCTTGGTTGGTAGAGAATTCTGGGTTTACAGATTTTACAAAATTAGCCTCTCATCACTTTCAAATGTTATCCCATTATCTCCTGGCAAACCTAATCTGATGAAAAGTCTGCTGTTTTGGATACATAGCTAGCTGGCTAGATATAGCTTGGAATTCTCTGGCCTTGGAGCTGAAGTTTGGTGTACAGGTTTCCTCCACTGTCAGAAAGTAGTTCAGTTCAGTTCAGCTGCACAGTCGTGTCCGACTCTTTGCGACCCCATGGACTGCAGCACGCCAGGCTTCCCTGTCCTTCCCCAACTCCCGGAGGTTGCTCAAACTCATGTCCATCGAGTTGGTGATGCCGTCCAAAAACAGAGTGGAAATGATCTTATGAAATATTTCACAAGTTGAACTGGTGTGAAGAAGTGATTACCTTAGCACCCTTCTTGCATACAGATGCACGAAATAAGTGGAAATAAAGCACAGATGCTTATAGACACAGTTTAAAGCTGTGGTGCCTTGACATTGAGATGCTGAGTTGTAGTTCCTAGGGGAGGAGCTTGGCAGTTCCATCTTCGCTGTTTCTGATGAGCTCAGCCTCTACAATCGCTCCCTGCAAAACAGGTACTAATACACGTCTTTCCTTAAAATGAAGTGGCAGCAAAGTGAACTTTTGAAAAGCGAGAAATACCTGTATTTCATTATATTGGGAAAACACTTAGTCATTAACTCTCCCAATGTTTTTTCTGCTCTTTTCTCTATTTCTTTTGGTCTTCTGAGATTCTGATTACAAATATATTAATCAATAACTCTTAAGTGCTCTTTTTTTTCCCTTGATGTTTCAACTTGGGTAGTTTCTAGGCCTTCCTTCAAGTTTATCATTTCTTTTTTCAGTTTCTATCAGTTCAGTTCAGTTCAGTCACTCAGTAGTGTCCGACTCTTTGAAACCCCATGAACCATAGCATGCCAGGCCTCCCTGTCCATCATCAACTCCCAGAGTCCATCCAAACCCATGTCCATTGAGTTGGTGATGCCATCCAACCATCTCATCCTCTGTCGTCCCCTTCTCCTCCTGCCCTCAATCTTTCCCAGCACCAGGGTCTTTTCCAGTGAGTCAGCTCTTTGCATCAGTTGGCTAAAGTATTGGAATTTCAGCTTCAACATCAGTCCTTCCAGTGAACACCCAGGACTGATATCCTTTAGGATGGACTGGTTGGACCTCCTTGCAGTCCAAGGGACTCTCAAGAGTCTTCTCCAACACCACAGTTCAACAGCATCAATTCTTCTGCGCTCAGCTTTCTTTATAGTCCAACTCTCACGTCTATACACGACCACTGGAAAAACCATAGGCTTGACTAGACAGACCTTTGTTGACAAAGTAATGTCTCTGCTTTATAATATGCTGTCTAGGTTGGTCATAACTTTCCTTCCAAGGGGTAAGCATTTTTTAAATTCATGGCGGCAATCACCATCTGCAGTGATTTTGGAGCCCAGAAAAATAAAGTCAGCCACTGTTTCCACTGTTTCCCCATCTATTTGCCATGAAGTGATGGGACCAGATGCCATGATCTTAGTTTTCTGAATGTTGAGCTTTAAGCCAACTTTTTCACTCTCCTCTTTCACTTTCATCAAGAGGCTCTTTAGTTCTTCTTCACTTTCTGCCATAAGGGTGGTGTCATCTGCATATCTGAGGTTATTGATATTTCTCCCGGCAATCTTGATTCCAGCTTGTGCTTCTTCCAGCCCAGCGTTTCTCATGATGTACTCTGCATATAAGTTAAATAAGCAGGGTGACAATATACAGCCTTGACGTACTCCTTTTCCTATTTGGAACCAGTCTGTTGTTCCATGTCCAGTTCTAACTGTTGCTTCCTGACCTGCATACAGGTTTCTCAAGAGGCAGGTCAGGTGGTCTGGTATTCCCATCTCTTTCAGAATTTTCCACAGTTTATTGTGATCCACACAGTCAAAGGCTTTGGCATAGTCAATAAAGCAGAAATAGATGTTTTTCTGGAACTCTCTTGCTTTTTCAATGATCCAGCGGATGTTGGCGATTTGATCTCAATTTCTATAGAGTCTATTAGTCTGTTGAAGACATCTTATGTCTCTTACTGTGTGTCTGTGTTTGAATTTAGCATATTTATTTGACTTTTGTTTACAACAATCTATTGAAATGTACCATCTACTTATGTGTTGGATGACAAAAGGACCTACTATGTTCCATTGGCATCTGAAATGGAAGTGGTCTAAAGGGACTAATCTTG